AAAATTTAAAAAGTGAGACAATGATGCATAAATGTTACTCTCCATGTTTTTAATTCAAATTTTTTTCGAATTTACTGTTTGAAAATAGCAGAGGGAGAACAAGTAGAAAATACGCAGTCGACAATCTAAAGAGAGAGAGAGAGAGAGAGAGAGAGAGAGAGAGAGAGAGAGAGAGAGAGAGAGAGAGAGAGAGAGAGAGAGAGAGGCAGATTCAAGTGCGTATTTGCTACGATCGATAGGTATTTGCTACGGTAGCAAATACTCACTAGTAGGTATTTGCTACCTTGGTGAGTATTTGCTACGGTAGCAAATACTCACTGGTAGGTATTTGCTACCTAAGTGAGTATTTGCTACGGTAGCAAATACTCACTGGTAGGTATTTGCTACTCGAGGTAGGTATTTGCTACGGTAGCAAATACTTACAGGTAGGTATTTGCTACGTAAATGAGTATTTGCTACCGTAGCAAATACGAACGGAAAGTTTTTGCGTCAAAACTAAGGACTTTGCAGCTAGTAAGGGGTACTTTAGTCCCGCTGCACGACTTCGTATTAATAGCCAGCGTTGCAAACTATTTTAAAGTAAATACATAATTAAAGGCCCAAGTAGGGCCAAAACATGGTTCAGCATAGAGATCATGGTTTATGTGGAAACAACGCTTGGCCGGTGAAATTATTTTTGAAAGCTGTTTTAAAGAGGCAACCCGTGTAAAATAATATATCGTTATAGAAAACTTATCGAGAACTAAATAAAACTTTTAAAACTAAGTTGATACTTAACGGAAAAAAACAACGGCTTCTTTAGAAGCCATCAAATTTTAAAAAGTCTCAACCAAAAGGTACCAAACACAGCTGATTGGTCTAAGAATAAACCGAGCTGAGAGCCGAAGAATCACCACACCCCGCGATAGGTAACTGGTGTAACCATCATATAGTGATTTCACATTACTTAATATGCAATGTAACTGTTCCCAGCTCTATACTAAATAGCACTTCATAGCCCTATATAGCCCTACATAGCCCTACATGGCCGTACATAGCACTTCATATTCCTATATACCCCTACCTAGCTCTTAAAGACTGGTTTTCTAGCTAGAACGTTTGTACATAGCGGTGCATAGCCGTAGAAAGCAGGGAATAGACGCGCATAGCTGTACGTAAGCCCAAAATAGCCGTGCATAGCCGTGCACAGCCGTGCATTCCCGTACACAGCAGTGCGCGGCCGTACATTGCCGTACATAGTCGTGTATAACCGTGTATAGCCGTAACGTAGCTGTACAAAGCCGTACATAGCCGCGCACAGCAATGCAAGGCCGCACATAGCCTTGCAGAGCAGTACATGGCCGTTAATAGCCGTACAAAGCAGGGAATAGTCCTGTATAGGTGTACATAAGCCCTACAAAGCCCTGCCTATCCCCACATTGCTGTACGGTCATGCACGGCTATACAGTGAGTGAGTGAAAACTTTATTTACCCACGGTAATCTTATATCAAATAACTTTACAATTAAGTATGTTATCCCTAAGGGCCATGCAAACGGCTAGGTACGGCTACGCACGGCTATGTACGGCAGTGTACGGCCATGCACGGCATTGTACGACCATGGGTGACAATGTACGGCTATGCACGACTATGCACGGCTATATATGGCCATGCACGGCTATGTACGGCTATGTACGGTTATGTACGGCTATGCACAACTATGCATGGCTATGTCTGGCCATTAACAGCTATATATTGCTATGTATGGCTATGTAGGGTTATTAACGGCTATATACGGTTATTTACGGCTATGCACGTCTATGTCAGCCATGCATGGCTATGTGCGGGTTTTTACAGTTAGTACGGCTTTGTAGGGCTATGCACGGCCTATTTACGGCCATGTACGGCTATGTATGGCCTTGCACGGCTATTTACGGCTATGCACGGCTACCTACGGCTATGTACGTCTAGGCACGGCTATGTACGGCCATGCAAAGCTATGTACGGCTATGCATGGCTACCTACGGCCATGTACGGCTATGTATGGCCATGCACGGCTACCTACGGCTATGTACGTCTAAGCACGCTATTTACGGCCATGCACAGCTATGTACGGCTACCTAAGACCATGCACGGCTATGTATGGCTATGCACGTCTGGGCACGGCTATTTATGGCCATGCACAGCCAGCCACGGCTACGGCTATGCACGGCTTTTCACCTCTATGTAAGGCTTTGCTGAGCTATGTAAGGCTATGTACGGGTATGTAACGCTATGTACAGCTATGCACGGCTAAATACGGCTATGCACGGCTTTGCACAGCTATATACGGCCATGCACGGGTATTTACTGTTATGTAAGGCTATGTACGGCTATGTAGGGCTATTTAGGGCTATGAACGGCTATTTACGGCCATGCACGGCTATTTACGGCTATTTACGTTTACGTACGGCTTTGCAGGGCTATGCACAGCCATGTACGGCTATGCACGGCTACCTACGGCTATGCACGTCTAGGCACGGCTATGTTCGGCCAAGCACAGCTATGTACGACTATGCACGGTTACCTACGGCCATGTACGGGTATGTATGGCCATGCACGGCTATGTACGGCTATGCACGTCTAGGCACGGCTATGTACGGCTATGCACGGCTAGCTACGGCTATGTACAGCTACGAACGGCTAGCTACGGCTATGTACGGCCATTCACGGCTATTTACGGCTATGCACGGCTATGTACGTCTAAGTACGGCTTTGCAGGGCTATGTAAGGCTATGTACGGGTATGTAAGGCTATGTGCCGCTATACACGGCCAAATACGGCTATATACGGCTAAGTAAGGCTATGCACGTCAATGTACGGCTATGCACGGCTTTTCACCTCTATGTACGGCTTTTCTGAGCTATGTAAGGCTATGTACGGGTATGTAAGGATATGTACAGCTATGCACGGCTAAATACGGCTATGCACGGGTATTTACGGTTATGTACGGCTATGTAGGGCTATGAACGGCTATTTACGGCCATGCACGGCTATTTACGGCTATTTACGTTTACGTACGGCTTTGCAGGGCTATGTATGGCCAAGTACGGCAATGTACGGGTATGTGCGGCTATGTACAGCTATTTGCACGGCTTTTCACCTCTATGTACGGCTTTGCTGAGCTATGTAAGGCTATGTACGGCTATGTATAGCTATGTACGGTTATGTACAGCTATGTACGGCTATGAAGGGCTATGCACGGCCATGTGGGCTTAAGGCACGGCTGTTCACGTCTATGTACGATAATGTTCAGCTATGCACGGCTATCTTCGGCTATTTACGGCTATGCACAGATTTGTACTGCTATCTATGGCTATGCATGTACGGCCATGCACGGCTATTTACGTCTATGTACGGCTTTGCAGGTCTATGCAAGGCTATGTACGGCTATCTACAGACATGCACCGCTATGTACGGCCATGCACGGCTATGTACGGCTATGCACGGGTATCTACCGCTATATACGGCCATACACAGCTAGGTACGGCTATTCACGGCTATTCACGTCTATGTACGGCTTTGCCGGGGTATGTAAGGCTAATATGTACAGCTATGCACGGCTAAATACGCCTATGCACGGCTATGGACAGCTACATTCGGCCATGCAAGGGTATTTACGGCTATGTACGGATATGCATGGCTATGTACAGCTATGCACGGCTATGTGCGGTTATATACGGCTATGTAGTAGTATGCACGGCTATATAGGAGTATATACGGCTATAAGGGCTATATACGGTTATGTACGGCTATGTACGGCCATACACAGCTATGCAGCGCTATGTAATCCCTACATAAGCGCTACTAAACCTTACATAGGCGTACAGAACCCTACAGTCCTACAGAGCCCTATATAACCCTACGTAGCCATATGCATATATTGGAACATTCGTTTGGCAAAATGTTTGAGCCGCTTTTTAAAAGTGCGCCGGTACGCCGTCCTGCGAAAGTTTATCTCCTTCCTTACGACGTGCGGCTAAGAGAATTTATCATCCTTGCAGTTTTTTGTAAAAGCTACAACATTCTTCCTCTGATAAGCGTCCTCCAGCTACAACCTCCTGTTTTGCATGTGCACCCCTTCTTCATGCATTAAAATTTTAGATACGCGCGCATCATTTTTCTTTTGTCAGTGAGCGTAATATTTTGGGAGAACTGAGCCTTGCAATTCCTTTTGTCTTTTTTGTTCATTGACTAAAGTAAAAAAAAACGGTAAAAATTTACAAGTATGATTTATTAGCATCATGTGTGGCATCATAAGCTCGAGTGTGGGTCATGCGAGCAACCGCGCGCGAGACTTCTCTATTCGAACGAGGTACGAATTTAATAGACCAAAATTGTACACTGTTTATCCAGGCATTCAAAGCCAGATTGTCATTTCCTGTCTGCATGGCTTAAAGCGTGTAAGCCTTTATAGTATGCTAACTTTAGACCTTTTAGTCGGTGTTTTTAACTCCAGCCAAAAGTGCGCAATAGCTGCAAACTGCATCACGTGTTATTTCCAAATGTGTGATAAATATAATGGATATAAACCAGGTTATATCTCTGTTTTTCTTTTGATGGTTGTTATTTGTAAATTGAACATCATCTTCCTTTGATTTTCTTCCTTCTCCAAGACATAACTTTTAAATAAATAGGATTTCGAAAACTAAAGTGCGTATTTGCTGCAAAAACAAATATCTGCTACCATATCATCTGCATTTTACACAGTTCCGTGTAAAATAAGCTTCTACAGCGGGTAATATTCATGGCTACCTTTAGCTGGCTGTGCCTTGGTTGGTAGGCATCATTATGTATTGCTTCTCTTCTTTTATCACGACTTAACTTCGAAATAAATTACATGTTTCTTTTCTGAGCGAAAACCAAAGTGCGTATTTGCTGCAAAAACGAGTATTTGCTACCTTATGATCCGCATTTTACACAGTTTTGTGTAAAATAAGCTTCTACAGCGAGTAATATTAATGGCTACCTTTGGCTGGCTGTTCCCTGGTTGGTAGGCATCATTATGCATTGTTGATCTTCTTTTATCACGGCTTAACTTCGAAATAAATTACATGTTTCTTTTCTGAGCTAAAACCAAAGTGCGTATTTGCTGCAAAAACGAGTATTTGCTACGGAATAGGTTTTTGGATAAAAAATGCATTCAAAGTGCTTTGACACCTCAAAAATTGTTTCGGAAGAGTTTCTTTTGTGAAGCGCTTACTTTCCACATAAAAATTGGAGAAGGTATCACAAAGGGTTATTATTTTTACAGCAAATACGTTTTGGGTTGTCTAAAAAAAATCTTGAGTCTGAAACTGGTTCCGAACATGTACCTGAGAACAACGTTTAGTCCTTGATTTAAGTTAAAGCAAAATTGAAAATATTTCCAAACACGGAGGGGTTTAATAGTAATTCTTATTACCCTAAGGACCTTACAAATCCGTTTTGTTTGGCAAATTTTACAAAATTTTTGGTTGATGTACCAAGAAATGCGTATTTGCTACGTTAAGTTGGTTTGAACTAGAAAATATTCTGGAAAAGTAAAATAAATTAGGAAAGGGAGAACGTATTTTGGGTATGTAAAAGCTTAGCTTATTGGCTTGCCCAAAAGAAGTGAGGTTTGATATATAAAACGTTTTAAAATTTTCAAAAGGAGAAAACGTAGCAGATACGGACAGATGAATCTAAAGAGAGAGAGAGAGAGAGAGAGAGAGAGAGAGAGAGAGAGAGAGAGAGAGAGAGGCAGATTCATGTGCGTATTTGCTACGATCGATGGGTATTTGCTACAGTAGCAAATACCCATTTTTCCATTTATGGGTATTTGCTACCGTAGCAAATACCCATTGAAATTTCGAGTGGGTATTTGCTACCCAAAATGGGTATTTGCTACCGTAGCAAATACTCACTGAAATTTCGACTGGGTATTTGCTACCCATAATGGGTATTTGCTACCGTAGCAAATACTCATTAAATTGTAAAGTGGGTATTTGCTACCCATAATGAGTATTTGCTACCGTAACAAATACTCGTAGCGCTTAACAAGGGGCATTTGTTACCATAATTATGGATATTCGATTCCGTAGCACATTATCAAACTTACAAGTGGATACATGTATGTGCTGCCAACAATAAGCAATAATAATAATAACTTTAGTACTGCTACACGACTTCATATTAATAGCTACGGCTGCAAACAATTTTTAAAGTACATAGATAATTAAAAAAAGCTAAGTAGGGCCAAAACATGGTTCAGCTTGGAGATTTCTGATTTGTATGGAAACAACGCTTGATGAAATTATTTATGAAAGCTGTTTTAAAGAGGCAACCCGTTCAAAATAATATATAGTTAGAGCAGAACTTAAAGAGAAATAAATGAACTTTTTTAAAACTAAGTTGTACTTAAAGGGGAAAACAATGGCTTCTTTAGAAGCCACCAAATCTAAAAAAAAGTCTATACCAACAGATAGCAAACACGATTAGTCTAATAATAAACAACTGAATATCTGACCCGAAAAACCACCACACCCCGCGGTTGGTGCGTGGTGTACCCATCATATAAGTGATTTCACATTATTTAATATGCAATGTAACTGTTCCCAGCTCTACACTACATAGAACTTCAGAGCCCTATATAACTCTACATAGCCCTACATAGCCCTAGATAGCCGTACATAGCACTTCATAGCCCAATATACCCCTTCTTAGCTCTACATGGCAATAATGGCCGTACATAACCCTACATTGCCTAATATCCGTACTTAGGAAAATTCAACTAGTGGTCTATTATCAATGCTGCGTTCTGATTGGTTGAGCTATTACTAGGCTATATGTTATAGCCCACTAGTAGCGAAAAGTGCCGGCAATTTGGTGGGCAAAAATGATTAAAGTGTAGCTTTAGCTAGCTAAAGTTGTTTCGTCTCAATATTTTTGACCAACTAGTTGGATTTTACTAAAACAATTATTCCTCTCCCCCTCATGGCCTCTGAGTCAATAGCCAATTTGGCCTTCGGCCTCAAATAGCCTTAAATAGCCCTAAATAAACCTGCATAGCCCTACATAGCAATATATAGCCGCGCATAGGCGTACCTAAGCCCTACATTGCCGTACATAGGCCTACGTAGCCCTTCATAGCCGTACATAACCGTGCACAGCCGTGCAGAGCGGTACATCGCCCTACACAGCCGTTTATAGCCACGCTTAGCCGTACATAAACTCTACATAGCCTTAAACAACCGTACCATGCCGTGCATAGCTATACATGGACGTGCATAGCCGTACATAGCCGTACGTAGCTGTACATAAGCTCTACATAGCCTTACATAGCCTTACATAGCCCTGCATAGCCGCCGTACATAGCCGTGAATAACGCTACATAGCCGTGCATAGCTGTTCATAGCCTTACATTAGCTCCACATAGCCTTATAAGGCCGTACCATGCCCTGCATAACCATATATGGCCGTATATAGCCACGCATAGCCGTACGTAAGCCCTGCATAGCCCTACATTGCCCTACATAACCGTGCATAGCCGTGCAGAGCAGTACATCGCCGTACACAGCCGTTCGTATCGACGCTTAGCCGTACATAAGCTCTACATAGCCTAGCATAGCCTTAAATAACCGTACCATGCCGTGCATAGCCGTACAAAGCCGTACATAACCGTACATAACCGCGCATAGCCGTGCAAAGCCGTGCATAGCCCTACATATAGCCGAACAAAACCGTGCATAGCCGTGAATAGCTGTGCATGGCCGTACATAAGCTCTACATCGCGTTACACAGCCGTACCATGCCGTGCATAGCCAAGCATGGCCGTACATATCCGTGCGTAGCTATGCATGGCTTTACATAGCAGTGCATAGCCGTACATAAGCCCTAAATAGCCTTTCATAGCCGTACATAGCCCTGCATAGCCCTGCATAGCCGTACCATACCGTTCATAGCCATGCATAGCCCTACATAGCCGTACATAACCGTACATAAGCTCTACCTAGCCTTATACAGTCGTTCCATAGCGTGCACGGCCATGTATGGCCGTACATAGCCGTACGTGCTGCCCATAAGCCCTACATAGCCCTGCATAGCCGTGCATCAGGGGCACCCAACGTCAATGTTCGGAAAATATCTGTTCGGAAAACGATTCGAGATCTAGAATTTTCGGAACATTTGTTGTAAAATTTCTTGCTTTCCTGCCTCTCCTAGGATTTTCGAACATCTGAAAAATGGTATAATTGCCAATTTTTAACGGATTTTTACCCTAAAAAGGTCACCTAGAATTTTCGGGAGCCTTTTTTTGGGCTGAAAGTTTCGAAAAGGTAAGTTTTAATCCCTAAGATTTTCGGATCACTAGACTTTCAGCTAAGAAATCTGAACAGATGAAACATTTTTAGGGGATAAAAATATGCCTATATCTACCGTTTGAATACTAAAATACGTTTAACAATGTTATGCTTAAGTGTTTTTGAACTATATTCTCGTTGGGTGGCCCTGGTGCATAGCCGTACATAGCCGTTCATGGTCATGCATAGCCGTGCATAGCCCTACATAGCCCTACATAACCGTGCATAGCCGTGTAGAGCACACATCGCCGTACATAGCCGTTCATAGCCACGCTTGGCCGTACATAAACTCTACATGGCCCTACATAGCCTTAAACAACCGTACCGTGCCGTGCAGAGCCATGCATGGCCGTACATAGCCGTGCATAGCCGTGCAAAGCTGTGCATAGCCTAACATAGCCGAACAAAACCATGCATAGCCGTAAACAGCCGTATATAGCCGTACATAAAATCTACATAGCCTTACACAGCCGTACCATGCCGTGCATAGCCATGCATGGCCGTGCATAGCCGCGCATTGCCGTACATAGCTGCGCATAGCCGTTCATAGCCGTGCATAGCCGCACACAGCCATCCATAGCCACGCACAGCCATATGTAGCTGTGGATGGCCGCACATAGAAGTACATAGCCGCGCACAGCCATACATAGCTGTGGATAGCCGTGCATAGCCGCGCATGCCCTAAGACAGCCGTGCATAGCCTTGCATAGCAGTACATAGCCGTACATAACCGCGCATTGCCGTACGTAGCCGTGCATAGCCGCACATAGAAGTACATAGCCGCGTATAGCCATCCATAGCCGTACATAGCCGCGCACAGCCATACATAGCTTTGGATAGTCGTGCATAGCCGCGCATGGCCGTGCATAGCCGCGCATGGCCGTCCATAGCCGCGCATGGCCTTACACAGCTGTGCATAGCCTCGCATAGCAGTACATAGCCGTACATAACCGCTCATTGCCGTACATAGCCGTGCATAGCCGCACATAGAAGTACATAGCCGCGTATAGCCATCCATAGCCGCACATAGCCGCGCACAGCCATACATAGCTGTGGATAGCCGTGCATAGCCGCGCATGGCCTTACACAGCCGTGCATAGCCTCGCATAGCAGTACATAGCCGTACATAACCGCGCATTCCCGCACATAGCCGTGCATAGCCGCACATAGACGTATATAGCCGCGCATAGCCGTCCATAGCCGTACATAGCCGCGCACAGCCATATATAGCTGTGGATAGCCGTACATAGCCGTGCATGGCTGTGCATAGCCGCGCACGGCCTTACACAGCCGTGCATAGCCTCGCATAGCAGTACATAGCAGTACATAACCGCGCATTACCGTAAATTGCCGTGCATAGCCGCACATAGACGTACATAGCCGCGTATAGCCGTATATAGCCGCGCATGGCCGTGCATAGCCTTACACAGCCGTGCATAGCCGTACATAGCTGTAGATAGCCCTACATTTCCGTACTTACCCATACAGGGCCGTACATGGCCGTACAAAGCCGTGCATAGCCGTACATAGCCGTGGATAGCCGTACATAGCCGTACATAATCGTGCATAGCCGTGGAAAGCCGTGCATAGCCCTACATAGCCAAACAAAACCGTGCATAGCCGCGCATAGCCGTACATAGCGCTGCATAGCCATACAGAGC